ATTAAGTTCCGAAATTTCAGCCCCGCAGCTTTTATAGATCCTGAGATGAAAGTGCGTGACAGACGCACACACAGGCACACAGACGCGCAGACACACGGACACACAGACAACCTCTCGTTACTATGCGTTTTTCGCATTGCATTGCTGCAAAAAACGCATAAAAATGAATAAAACTAATTCGCGTATTAGTACTACTATCTAAAATCACACTCAGACTCGCTTCAAAGTGATGCTTTCTGTTTCTCTCCAAAAACCATTTCTCACTCATCTTCAGTCTAATGCGAAAAGTTTAAAAATTTTACTGCAGAGCTAAAACATTACAGCATTTATGATAATTACACAAAATCACACTAATGAACAAGACATATTCCTATCCAGTGCCACAGCCGGACTCCGTCAGTACGACAGTTGTGCTGTTGATAAAATAAATAAAATGAAATAAATTAGTTCAAAAAAACGTGATGCAATTTGAAAAGGCGAAAGGGGAACAGAAAAGAAGATAACTAAATAAAATAACATGTTAAAAGCATGTTAAAACAACTAATTATAACGACTGGCAAGTTTTGATTCATCCACGTCCAGCACGACTTGGGAGTTTTTGCAATAACAAACAACACCAAATCCTGGAACTCATCCAAAAGCAGTCCATAAATTCGTTACTAACGACTAAGAATGATTGATTTTTGCTCGCACGAGTCTCCAATAAGCAATAAAGCAAGAACATAAAATACGCTATGATGTTACAGAAATTAGTAAAGCAATAACTGAGAATGACCTGCAATAAAACAATCAGATAAATAATAGAGTTTTCAAACTACCTACTTGGCCTGCAGTTAGTTCTTGCTCTTTGCTCTCCTTTTTTATTCTTCAATTTTATTATTCTCTAAATTTGTCTCCTTGCACCTTTTTTTTAAATGCAACACATTTTCTTGAAAAAATTTATCTCATTTTACTTATTTCTTTTATCAACATCGTCGTATTGACGAGGTCCAGTTGTGGTGCTGAATAGGAATGCCTTGTTCATCCAACTTCTTAATATGGTTTTGTGAAACTCTACATATGTATATGTCAATTAGTATCTTCTCTATTATACCTCTGGTTGATACCTGTTAGGTCTAGTACTTCATATCTGCTCTGCGCCTAATGCGTGCTATAATAGGAAAACCTAAGAATAGTACACATCATGGGACAGAAGACAACTTCGTTCCGTATATTAGGGCCGATTGGTCAGGCAGGCAGTCAGTAGAAAACCCATCACGAAAATTAGCTTTCTCTAAAAGGCATCATGGAAAACAGGAACAATTTGCATAATAGTGAAGTTTTTGCCATAAAGCCAATTATAGACTTCGGCAAGTAGCAAATTACAGCTGTGGAACACGCCTTCTTTGCCCTTTAGCTCGTCAAAGAACAAAATTTATTTTTGGCATCAGCTCGGTTCTACTGTGTTACGACTCTTCACTGTCTTCCAAAAAAAAGGATGCGTGCCAGGAGAAGGAATATGGCTAAAAGTTTTTGCTAGAAGCTGATTTTGATAGGCAGCTGTTTAATCAGCCACACCTCGACGACGATCTCCTAACAGTTTCAACAAATATTGTAAAAGTCTCGGATTCACTGATTATCTTGACCTGGAGTTCCGACACCAATCCACATTTGTACGAGCAGTCATAAACCAAAAGGTAGCGAGCTTTAAAAATTTAATTCGCCACACATAACTAGTGTGGCACGTTTACAAGGGACCACAGACGGATCCAGGGCGAACTCCCGGGGGCGGAAGGGAGGGGGGATTTTCTTCCCCCTCCCCTCGTTCATCAATGCCTCGGTGCTCCCCGTCTCTTTCTTTTCGGTCACCCCTCCATCCCCTTCTCCCGGTCGTTCCGCTGATCTCTCTCCCCCCTCCTCCCCGCTAGTCGACTCTAAACTGCGACGACGACTGAGGGGAGGGGGAGTGATAGGGGATACCGAACACAAATTCCTACAATAAAACAAATGCTACCTGAGCCCCTGGGGAGGGGGAGCGAAAGACGCCTCGCCTCCCCTTACCCCTCCCTCTCCGGACCTGCCAGTGAGTATCATTGCGCACTGTGTCTCGACCACTTCATTCCTTTTTGCCATGTTTTTTCATAAATTTTTTTACACACACATATACCACGCAAACACACACTCCCAAATACAACACACACCACACAAGCACACATAATTCCATACAAACACATATACTACATGGAATTTGCTCAGTTACCCACACTACGTTATTTCTGGAAATTTGTCTCGAATGCACAGCAAAAAAAAGTCATCGTACGTAAAATATAGTCAGTTTTGCCTCTGAGTGGAAAAAATCGCAGACTTAGACAAAAATGCATGAAAATTCGGCGGATGATCTCTCAGAATAAGATATATGTCGCTAAAACAGAATATTTTTTTACCGAATTTTAACAGATTTGATGCAAAGGAATCTGACAATAAATACGATCTACCAGGACCAGTAAGGTCACACTTAATTTGTCAAGGCAACTCTGATATTTCCCTGCGCATGCATAATTTGATGGCTTCAAATTCAACCCCCATTTTTGTGTGGTTCTCACGTCGGACCCGTGAAATTTCTCGGCGGGTAAGTTGTCAACTTGTGAACCAGAAAAGCTAGGAAGCTGAAGTTTTAAGGGGATTCGAGCGCAGAAAGCTAGGTCATCTTTTCCTGAGTTGTACTTATCAAGATTCGTGCTTACTTGATTTCACTACTACGTTGGTCGTCTTTCTGCTTATAAGCATCACAACGTCATCGTTTGCCCGCAAGTAAACAACACCTGCCAATTCGCCAGGCTGTGTTTTAACTCGATCCCTTAACTACATCCGGCTTGCCATCCATACCTCCAGCTATGTGTGCACAAAATTTGAATATTTTTCACTGCTATCTTAAAATCTCTTCATCGGTTGCAGTATTTCGAGATTCCCAACGTTACATTCCTTCATCACTCAACTTTCCAAAATCAATTTAACACTACAGTGACTCGAAAAGGAGATATTGTTTTTTTTGCAAAAATCTGCAAAATGGGTGAGCAAGCAGTACGGCTCACTTTTTCCCCGCAAAATTTATCGCATTTTAAAGTAATCAAATTTGAATCTCTAGAATCCAGAAGTATTAAATTCTGGAAGTTTAGCGAAGTCCTGTGATTCACAAAGTAAATAAACAGTGGCACTGTGCTATCGCCTAGAGATCCCAAATTCTTTGTGTTCTAAAAAGAAAAAAAGAATTCTGAAATCCTCAAAGAACGAGCAATGTTATACACTGTCTCCATCGGAATGAAAGCTAGCTCCATCAAGCAACGCTCAGTTCTCTTTTTTTCCCCCGCTCATAGTTCACTGTGTTCTGTTAAACAAAAATCATATCAGTCAAAGTGAACAGAGAAGATTAAACTCAACTTTTAGAGATCGAGAAACGTACAGCAGCATTCTGCACTTCAAACTATGTGCTGAATGCAAAATGCAGCAATTATGGCTGAAAATGTCGCACTTCACATATCCAAAAAAAAAAAAGAAAAGACACTTCTTGAGCAATTAATTGAGTTTTTTTGATTTTTTCGAAGCAATTTCAAGCTGTTTGCTTAGCTCTTAGCTTTAAGCATACAAAAAGCTTTGTGTTCTGTAAGTTCTCCAGTGACATCAGTCATGATCCCTTCTGCACTCAGCCTCAGTGGGAACAGGAGGCACCCAAATAGCAGCACATAGCAACAGCAACTACCCGCTGGAAAGACTGCCTGTCTCGTTCGATAGGCTTCCTTATAAACTGATGGTGTTTTTGACTTCATGCGCCAGTACCAATTTACCATCAAAATGAATGAATGAGTCGTAGAGAAATCGGCTGCCCTACTTATTGGCGGAGCCGAACTCATCAGGGTGAAAGCAGGGCTATTTACCATTGCAATTTGCCCGAATAATTTATTGTACGTCTGAGCATGCTTTCACAAACAACTGGAACTCCTCTCACAACAATGCTTTGAATTCTTCTCTATTACGAATGAACTTCTAGAATTACGTCGTCTTTTCACGGAAAATCAAAAAGCAGAAAATAAAAACAAAAAATATTATGTATTTATAAAAAGACTTGTAGAATTGGCCAGTCCTTTCAAATTCGTCCATGTGGTAAGGAAGAACGTGAGAACTGAGTTACCATGAGGAAAATTACACTGGACAGCCGATAATTTGTCTATACGCTAGTGAAAACTTAGTAGAAAGAGATGAATGCACCGCGGTAAGGAAAACTTTGTTGGACGATCAACCAATTTGAGGAAAAAGTAAATTCGGGGCAAACACGT